GGCTTTGGAACCGAGCAGGAACTCGCATCGTGCAAGAACTGAATCCGCCAAAGGGCCCGTGCTTCCTCCCGCCCCTGCCTGGCTCCGGGCCGAAAGGACGGACCCCTGTCCCCACACCGCGCCCCCTCAGAGCCCTGCTGCCCAGGGGCAGGTGCCCCCTCCCCACCCTCTCTCGCTACACGTGCACGGAAACACCCGCATCGCTAGGTGTTTCAGCCGGAGAGTGATTTTGGAGGGGGTGGAGAGAAGGCAGGGATAACGATTTGTAGAATTTTAGAGTCCGTAAGTGTACTTCGCACAGGACCGTCACACACTCAACGGCGGAGGCCCGGGATCGGCTCCAGGAAGAGGCCAGGGAGACCTGCGAGCCCTCCAGGCTAGGGCACTCAGCACGGACCCACCCTGCCTGGGTCCTGGGCCCTCAGCCGCTGCTCCTGCCGTAACGGAGGAGTCCCTCTGCAAGCGCAAGCCGGGGTGGGGCTGCCCCCCAACTCCGGAGGGCGTGAAGCCCCCAGCCCTGTGGCCCCCAGTCCTGGCAGCTCAGCTCTGCCCCCACCCCTCGGGGCTTTCCCCCCAGGCCTCCCGACTCGATGGATTTGGCCTTGGCTCTGAGCAGTGCTGCGGCTTCCAGTCTGGCTCCTCCGCCCCCGAGCCCAGCCGAGCCGAAGCGGCACAGACCCGCCCTCGGAATGCGTGCCCTGCAGGCCTGCCCTCGTCCCACAGTCACCGCCCGCCTGTCTTGCAGGCACCTGAGCTCCAGGGTGGCGACGACAGAGAGACGACCGTGCAGTCAGGAGCCCCAGACTGTGTCTCAGCTTGGCTAGCATGTTCGCGGGGAGCCTTGATCTTCTCATCTGTAAAATGGCTTCATAGTGTTGAGCCCAACCTCTAGGGACAGCCAGTGAGCGTCTGCGGGGACCGTCCTGGCTTCGCTGTGTTAAAAGAAGTAGGGCAGGGGTTAGTCCCTCAGTCGTGCCTGACTCTTTTGCGACCTCCAGGACTGTAGCCCGCCAGGCTCCTCTGTCCGTGGCATCTCCCAGGCAAGAGTACCGGAGTGGGTGGCCGTTCCCTTCTCCAGGGGATCTTCCTGACCCAGGGAGCGAACCCTGATCTCCTGCACTGCGGGCGGATTCTTTACCATCTGAACCACCAGGGAAGCCGCCGCAGACATGCTGTGTGGAAACAACCCCCCAACTCTCACTCACCAAGCACCCCAAGGACAGAAGTCTCACGGGGATGTCTCCAGGTCTGAAAGTGGGACCTAGTCACCCACAGATCCGCCCAGCGCATGTAAAGAAGTGGTCCCGTGGCTGCTTCCTCCCTCCCCAAGCTTCAGATAGACGGGTGTCTGCAAAGGAGGCATCATTCTAGGGCTGGCCCCGCTGTCCTTGCCCTGAGTGGCCCTGTCCCTCCAGGGGAGGGGACCCAGAGGCTGGCACAGAGGCTGGCAAAGGCCTCCCTCAGGCCAAACCACGTCGTCAGGCTGGTCTGACTGCAGGAAAGGAGACCCTAAATGTCCACTGCCCAGAACAGTCATCGGACGCTTTCATGTTCGGGGACCAATTAATTATCCCAACCTCTCGATTTGAAAAGGAGGATGTTTAATCTCCCGTTTTCCCCAGGGTCTCAGCCCTTTGACCCCACTTCTTGACCCCTGCCCTTCCACCTAGCGTGTTCCCCAGAGCCCCCCGCCCCGCCCCCACCCCGGTCCCAACTCTGCAGCAGCTTCATTTGGTAAACAAGTCTCCCCCCGAGTTGGGGAGGTTGAATGCATCTTTTGACGAAGCCATGCTTTTCACAGGGCGACTGGATGAGCCCAGGAGAAAGGAACGAGGCCTGGGAGGAGTCACGGCCAACCAGTGCTCATGGGATTCTGCCCTGTGACCCCAGGAGGCTCTTGGTGCTCCCCTGCAGAGTGAGCCCGTCCTGTCACCATGCCACGAAGTAGGGTCATTCTAGCTTTTCCCCCGAGCATTGTCGTGAGGTGAGGTTGGCCAGCCACTCCCCTGGCAGTGGGAACAGCTGCCGCAGATGCAATAAAGGGATCCACCAGGGAGCCAGCAGGGTCCACGTGCAGACACCGGGCTCCGAGCGCCAGCCGCTGCTTTCTCCAGGATCTTAAACAATCCAGGGTCTTAAACAATCCAGGGTCGAAATGGAGGGTGCTGATGGGGTCTGGGTCAAATCCCAGTTTTGCTCCCAGTTAGCATTTGTGATCTCGAGCATAAGGAACTTCCGTTTGCTTCAGTTTCCTCATCCCTAAGAGGAGATGAATCAGAGTACCGATTGCATAGGTTGATTGTAAAGATTGTTATACCACCTAGGCAAGGTGTTGGGTTGCCGTGAGGTTTACAGAAGGGTTGGCTAATTTTATCTTTTTCTAGTGGGAGCTTCTTCCTTCTGGTGGGGGACTCTGGTCCAGCTTCATCCTCCTCCCCAGTCTCCTCACGCCTCGGGGTCCCCAGGAGACCTGAGTTCTAGGTCCTGAACCAGGGCCTGTAGCAAGTCTGGGTCTGCTTGTTGTCTGCTGTTTAGTCTCAGAGTTGTACCCGACTCTTTTGCGACACCATGGATGTAGCCCGCCAGGCTCCTCTGTCCGTGGGGTTTCCCAGGCAAGAATACTGGAGTGGGTTGCAGTGCCCTCCTCCAGGGGATCTTCCTGACCCAGGGATCAAACCCCAGTCTCCTAGGTCTCCTGCATTGGCAGGTGGATTCTTTACCGCTGAGCCACGTGGGACACTCCCGGGTCTGCTTGCGTCCCTGGTTATCCTGAGCCGGAGGTTCTCAACCAGAGGTGACTTTGCCCTCTGGGGACATGCGGCGATGTCTAGAGACACTTTGGGGTGTCACATGTGGGCAGAGGGGTGCTACTAGGATCCAGAAGGCAGAGCCCAGGGATGCCACTCAGCATTCTACGAGGCGCAGGATGGCCCAGTCACAAAGCTCAGTCCTGCAGAGGCTGAGGAAGCCTGCCCTGAGCACTAACCACGGTCAGCAGGAGAGGGGAGCGCGCCCCTCCTGTGATGCTCCCGTTCTCCCTCATTCCCCCAAAGAGCACGGAACAAAAGCAATGACGCAGATTATGTATCCTGAGAAGCCAGCCACAATATGCATTCATGTAAATCAATGAACAAAAACCAATTGCTGTGGCACCAGTTGCTAAACAAAGCCTTGGAACTAATGCCTGTAATTGGAGGTATTCAGGAGGGCGATAAAATCTGTCCATAGCGCCGAGTCCTCCTCTGTCTCCCAGGGACGCGCGCAGCCTTTCAGCTGTCACTGGGCCCCAGCAGCTCTGGGAAGGGAGCCTCCGGGCGTCCCTGGTCGCCAGGGTGCCCTCTGAGTTAAATCCTCGCTGGGCGCCCATCCTGTCACTGGAGGCAGATTCCAGGAGGGCCCTGGTTACCGTGGTTACGGTCGGGGACACACCAATCACCCTAATGAAAGGGGGCGGGGGTGGGGGCAGGCTGGAGGAGGGTATACTAGAGGATGATCTGGCAATTTCTAGCCCTTCCATAATTCTGTCTGCAAAATGGAGTCTGGGTGGAACTCCTGAGCTTGCTAGAGACCAGCTGACCATTCCCTTCTGCTCTCTCTATGGATATTTTTTAGGTCGCCAATGCCATTGTTCTGAAGACATTGCCTCAGACAGCTCCCCCAACATCAAACCAAGAGCTCAAACACTATAGATGGGGGCAATGCCAGTGTAAATACTGGGGGAGATAAACCACATAACAGACAAGAGTGCAGCGCACAGCACTGGCTGCATCTTTCTGACTAATCATCGAGATACTTGTAAGCTGACCATCTTTGACCAAGAAGAGATTTCATTAACAGAGAAGAAAGGAATTTGGTATCACCTTGAAATTGTGTGCAAGGCAAATGAGAGGCAATTAAAATCTTAATTTACTCTTTAAATTTCTAAGATGGAAAAAAAAATTACTTCAAAAGTCATTTGTCTTTCTTGGGGGTGGGGAAGAAAGAGTTCCCCAAACCACATGACTCCACGGAACATCCTGTTTTGTGTGTTATGGCACAGATCTAATCATAGCTTCTCTGGTCATGTGCCCACGAGCCTTGAAAAGATGCTGCCAACCCTTCATAAAATAGGGTTAGGCACTGGAAATGAATGGGTCCAATCGCCCAACCTTGGCTCTCTGAAGGGGTGCTGGAACATCCGTTGTCACCGTTAACCTCGACATAGCCAGTGCTCTTAGCAATAAACAAATAAATGCTGTCCAGTCAGTGGGAAGCAATAACAAACACCACTTTGTCTTGCTCTGACCAGCAGGACCAGCATCCATCTGCGTGGAAATCCTGGTGTCACACGCCTTCTCTGTGCTGTCCTGTCCTCACATGGACTCACTCCGTGATGCTCTTCTGAAATTAAGATTGATGGAGAGGGCAGTTCCCTGGCGGCCCAGTGGTTACCATTTGGCACGTTCACCGCCATGGCCCCTGGGTTCAGTCCCTGGGTGAGGAACTGAGATCCTGCCAGCTGCGTGGCATGGACAAATATTAATTAATTAATTAAAATGAAATGTGCAAACTTAAAAAAGAGGCGGAGAGTGAAGAAGCACTCCACAAGCCCCTGGGGTCTGTTATGAGTTGCTGCAGGAGCAAGGGAACTGTTGGGAAACGCTGTAATACGGGAGGACCTGAGCCTCTGCCGTCCGTGACGGGTTGCAAGAGGTTCCCGAGGCCTTCGTGCTGAGCTTCCCTTTGCTGATGAATGACCCTCCCGTCTGAGCGAGAAGGTGAGCAGCCCAGGCTTCCGCCGGGCCTGTCCGCGTCCTGAGCGCCGAGCCCACGTGTTTGAGGAGGGCCGTCCGACTGCTGGACGTCAGGCACTGGAGTCCAGGGCGCCCCTGGGACCTGACGGGGGTCGGATGGGCCCCCAGAGCCTCTGCGGCCTCATGCACAAGGTAGGAATTAGGTGCGGGCTCCCAGAGCCGCGTCCAGCTCTGGAGTTCTGCGGCTTCAGGACCTGAGAGAAACCGATGACCGACACGTGTATTCTGTCCTCCCCGGGCCAGGAGGGTGCCCTTTGCTTCGGTGACTCCCCCGCAGCCCCCAGCACGACGCTGTCCGGGGCTCAGGGGCATACCTGCCGGTCAGTCCATCGGTCAGATTCCCCCAGTTCATGACTCCCAGCTCCGTGCTCTTTTAATTCGAAAAAGGTCACTCAGTTGAAATCCACACATTCCCACAGCGCTGCGGTGCCACTAGGCAGCTCAGGAGGAAGCGAGCACCAGCCAAGTTGCATTCCCGACTCAATCTGACGGGCAGACGAAGACCTGCACGGGCACACTCACACGCACACACGGTGTGTGCCCGCATGCGCGTCCATACCTGTGCACTCACACTCGGGAGGCCATAGGGACCCGGGTCTTCCCTCCGAGGAAACCACCACGGGAGCACGCAGCTTTTGGTGGACTCAGAGATTTCTCCTGAGAGGCTTTGCCAGCTTCAGAGATTTGGAGGAAAATGACCCAACCAGAGCACGCGATCAGAAAGAGGGCGCCCAGGACCACAGCAACCCAGTAAGCTGACCAAGGTGTGGATCCCTCCACAGACTTGTCTGGGCCCTGAGTGGGCTTCCCTGGGGGCTCAGAATCCGCCTGCAATGCGTGGGGTCGCAAAGAGTCGGACACGACTGAACGACTTTCACTTCACAATGCAGGAGACCCGGGTTGGATTGCTGGGTCAGGAAGATCCCCTGAAGAAGGAAATGGCAACCCACTCCAGTGTTCTTGCCTGGGAAATCCCATGGACAGAGGAACCTGGAGAGCTACAGTCCATGAGGTCACAAGAGTTGGACATGATTTAGCGACTAAACCATCAACCACCATGAGTGTGCTGGCAAGGATGCTCCCTATTGTTGGAAAGAGGCAACCTCTCAAAAAGATGAGCTACAGAGAAAACAACCTCTAAATAAGTATTGCGGGGGGGGACTCAGCTTCCTCCCCTGAGCACACATCTGTCTAAGCCCAAACTTTCCCCATTTTCCAAGTCAGTGCCCTGGACGGGGCACATGAGGCGCCTGGACCCCGTCCGCTATCATCGCTTCACCAGGGAACCGGTGTCAATTTAGAGCGGTTGGAATTCATTGCTTTAGATTCACCTCCGATCTTATCAAAGTGGCTGCCTTGGAGGCAGGGAGGGCCTCCTGGTTTTGTTCCTTGGGATTCAGCCTCCCTCCCCCCGCCCCCCTCCACCCCCGGAGCCTGAGCAGAGATCCCCTCCTCTCTGAAGTTAATGGCTGTAAGAAGATTTCATTTTATTATATCTCCAACAGCTCTGATATTTTAAATTTGCCTTTGACAAACTCAGAGCCCTGGAATCATCATTTAGGAAACAAAGCTTAACCGGGAGCTTTTAAGGAGGGTTGTTGTTTTTTTTTTTTCCCTTTCAATTTTAGCAGGCTAGTAAAAATCAATAACGCCGTGTTCCCATCTGTAGCCCACCTGACATCTCATGAATGGTCAATGGAGCCTGCTCCTAGCTGCTGAAGCTGCTGTGAGCGGCAGTGGCCAGGCCGGCCGGGGATCACGTTTCTTTTCTGCCAATTTAAAGTCCTCTCTCCCTGCCCCGAAGATGCTCCTGGGCGACTTCCTCTGGGAGAAGCTTGGCTCTTTCCGGAAAGAGCTCAGAGGGACCAAATTGAGGACAGGAAAACTGTGGGGTGGGGAGGGGAGGTATTATCTGAGCCCAGAGATGATCAAACTCTTTGTCCCTCAAAGGATTCGTTAAATAGGACAAGCCGAGGATGGGGATTTGGAGGGTATTATTCTGGTGCAATTAGCCATGAGCTCCGGGATTCAAGAAGCTGCAAATTGGTCCTGGCTCGTGCCAAAAGATTTGGGACCCAAAGCCCTGTTTGGACGCTCCGCAAACCCCACCTGGGCTGAACTGAGGGCATCAGCAAAACACAGCCCTGGCTTTGCTGGGTACCCCGAGGACAGGAATCCGTCCAGCTGCCCCAGGCAGCTAAATGTGCCCTTGGAGGATGGCCCAGGACGACCCGCCTGGCCTTTCCGGGGGCGCATAGGCAACCAGGGCAGACACGACTCCCAGACAATGGAGTGGAAACTCAGGGCGACTGTGGGCACAGAACAGGCGGAAAAAAACGGGGCTCCGCAAACAAGGGCCCCGAGCGAGGCGGGGGAACGTGCAACGGCCTCCCCCTGCCACCACCCACCCCGAGGCCTTTTCAAAGCCACAGGCTGAACCATATTGTCGCTCCCAAGCCAAGTCCAACTTCTAAAGAAATCTTTTCAAGATGTTCAAAGCGCCGGAGAGCAGTTGGGCGCTAAGCGCTACCATCTGCCGCTCAGGCCCCGCCCTCGGTAATCCCGGCTCCCGGGGGCAGAGGCCCTGGGGCGGGCCCCGCTGTGCCCCCAGGGGGAACGCACGTCGTCTGTGGCGGGGGACAGCGGCCCTCGGAGCACCCGGGGATCTGCGAGCCGCTCGGGGTGGACCCCGTCTGCACCGCCGCTCAACTCAGCCTGGGCGTGAGCCGGCGCTGGGGAGGCAACCGTGGAGCCCCGGGACCCCCACGGCCCTGTCAGAGCAAAGGGGGGCCCAGGGACCGGCAGCCAGGCCTGGAATTCCTTAGACTCCAGAATTTCCAGTGCAGAGAAACAGGGATCTATCTGACTCCAAACAGAAAACTGTCTTTACACTGGTTGGGTGTTTTTCTTCTCTGTTTGCTCTTTTTTTCCTATTCTAGAGTGTGGACACCAGCATGAGTCAGCATGAAATGAAATAACTGCCTGTTTTAGTAAAAGAACCATGCTGGTTTTTTTTGTTTGTTTTTTAGCTATGTCAACCATCTCATCTTTGACCCTGAACATCCAGGGCCCAGCACATTCCAGGCCAGGAGGTCTGTTATTCCAGGGGCCAGGATCGCAGGGTGGGGGGATTGTGGGTGCAGCCCAGGGGGTGAAGAGGAGAAGGGTCCTTGGGTGGGGGGTGAAGGGCCAGGGAGGACAGGTGGGAGGAAGCAGAGCAGGTGGTGAAAGGAGCAGAGCAGAGCGGAAGGATGAGTCAGCCCGGGGAACAGGGCGATGATGGCGAGGAGTCAGGCCGCAGGCCTCCCGTGGAACTCCTGAGACGGAGACCCAGGCTGGCCTGAGCAGGAGAGAGAGAGAGAGGGAGCCAGGGGTCCGGCCACAGCGTCTGCCCAGCCAGGGTGCGGGGAGAGGCAGCGTGGGGACACGTCCCTGCAGGAGAGCTGCGAAGATCCTGGGCTGCTGAAGCCCTGTCGGGGGGGCCCCTGCTCAGAGCAGAGGACCAGGGCTGTGCGCTGCTCTGGATTGCAGCGGCGAGCACCAGGGGCAGTGGTTAGAAACGCACGTCCGCGAGCCACTTCCTGGACGGCATGAAGGGGAACGTGTTAAGTCGTTTAGCTGTGTCCGACTGTTGGCGACCCCATGGACTGTAGCCTGCCAGGGTCTCCTGCCCATGGAATTCTCCAGGCAACGCTACTGGAGTGAGTTGGCATTCTCTTCTCCAGGGGATCTTCCCAACCCAGGGATTCGAATCTGGGTCTCCTGCACTGTAGGCAGATCCTTTACCATCTGAGCTACCAGGGAAGCCTGGTAGCCAATGGATGGCATGACCCTGGACAGATCACTTAGCCTCATCGTGCCTTAGTTTTCCCATCTGTAAAGTGGGGGCAGCTTATCATGAACACATGTAACCTCACAGCATTGTTGCCAGGGTTAACATCCATAAAGTGCTGAGAACAGTATTGGGGACATAGTAGGTGCCAGGTGAGGCTGAGCCATTATTATTATTATTATTATTATTACCACTGTTTTACTTATCCCAGGAGTGAGTGAGAGGCTGACAGTCTCAGATGTCATCTTGGCTGGTAGTGAAAACGGGAGTTTTTCCTACAGGATACAGGTGGACGCCACCAGCCTCCCCTCTTCCCCTCACCCCCACTGCCCTGGGCACCCCACGCCTGGCAGCTTGGCGGATCTGAGACCACCCGCCAGGAGGATGGGGGCTAGAGTTCCCGGTGCAGATGTTTGTCCGAAGCTCCGTGGGGAGAAACCACCGCCGCGGGCTCTGGGAGGCTGCGTTTCAAAGCCGCCCTGGGAGCGGAGATTCAGATGGGCTCCAACTGGCCCACCAGCGGCTCCATGGGCCTGGTGACCCCCAGCTGGCTTTTGGCCACAAATAGCAACGCCTGAGCTGTCAGAAGACAGACACAGAAGGTTGGTTTGCTTTGGGGTTTGGGTTTCTCTATTTTTTAAAAAATTTTTTCTGGTGCTCCACTAGAATCTGGGCGACAGCAGTGATAACTCCTGAAAATCTTCGGAAACAACTTTGGCCAGAGGGCCAGCCTGCCTTGCTGTCTAGAAGGGTATTGAAGTGGACTCTGTGTACATGGTCCAGACTCTTCTTCCTTCAGCCAGCCTTTGGCCCGGGGCGCCCGTCCCCACACCTCAGCCCTGATCCTGCCCAAGATCAGCAAACCCGGAGCCCAGAGTGGGGACCCGATCAGGCTGTGTATCTGTGACGAGAACAGGTCCACGGAGAACACAGCCTGCCGCTCCCATGGCGGGGGAGGGAGGGGCTGACACAAGGGATGCTCTGATTGGCACGTGACTGGTGGGGGACGTGACTGGTGGTTAGTTGATGAGGCTGGGGCTGTTGGAGCTGAGAGTATCACCTCAGTTTCCCTGTCAACAACTGTCCCGATTCCCTCGGGTTATTATGCACATCCAGTGAATTTATCTGGACCAAGCCCCCAGAATGATGCCTGGAACGTACAAACATCAGCTGTCACTTCCCTGTAATCTACCAAACAGTCCCAGCCAAACACACTTGTCCTGTTCTCAAACATTCCACCAACCGTTCAAATAATCTGAGCCTGAAACGTGAGTCTTTAAGGGAAAAGAAAAAAAACACAAACACAAAACAATTTTTGAGGTTTTTAAGATGCACCAACTCTTCCAGGAATGCAATCACTCTGTTGTGTCAGACTCAGCGTGTTCACCTCCTGGGATCCCCTGGGCTGTGCCGGACTCTCAGACCCAGACCTTCAGCATCCTGGTCCACCTGACTCTGCAGGGCGTTATGCGCCACACCTGAGGCCAGCCAGCCCTGTGCCCTTGTATCCAGATATTTCTGCTGTTTGTGGTGTGCCTGGAGGACCAGATAACATAACCCAGGGGGACTGGAGAACTAACTCCTCATGGAACCAACTTCTGCCAAGGGGCATGAAGCTTCTCCTACTTTTCCTTTTTCGGGTGGTCTGTTCTTGAGCGTGGGCTTCCAGGTGACTCAGAGGTAAAGAATTCACCTGCTAATGCAGGAGACAGGGTTCAGATTCCTGGGCCGGGAAGATCCCCTGGAGAAAGAAATGGCAACCCGCTCCAGTATCGCTGCCTGGAAAATCCCACGGACAGAGGAAGCTGGCGGGCTATAGTCCACGGGATCATAAAGAGTCAGATGAACTTAGCGACTAAACAGCATTCCTAAGTGTAATCTCTACATCTGATCCAGCTTCCTGCGGAACTGGGCTTACCCACCCCGCCAGCAGTGTGTCTGAAGAAGGGGCTTACCCAGCATCAAAATGTCCCGTGTAGCTTTTCCATCCTTCACTCTTGCTGCCTGGGGAATGGTACCTTTAGAGAAAGTATAATTTTCTCCCTGCCTCACACTGTTTTCTGGGGAACCTGGACTAACATCTTCCTAAAAAAAGAGGAGATTGTATTTCATCTTGGTGGTAACTTCACCGAGAGTTGTTTACTGTTTCAGGAAATCGCATAATCGATAACGAAACACTGAAGGTATTTAAGACACCAGTACAGTATATATTTCCATCAGTCCACATTTGTGGCCACGGCCTTCATGGTGATGGGCTCTGAGTATAGTTGCTCCTGTGTATCTGTGTATTGAACTATTACTTTATGAATGACTTCCCTTTTATTTCTCCCTTATAGTACATGTAGGGCATTATATCGATTTCTATTATATATATATATATATATATATATATAGGGCAGTTATATTATCTATAAATGTAATATTAAGATAGATAAGAGGTCATCACAAGATAGTGGGCCTGTCAAATGGGCACCGGGGTTGGTAGAGCTGAGCACCTGTGATGGAGCAGAAAGAGCTCCAAGGCCTCTAGTCAACTGCGTCCTGACGGGTCAGACACGGTCCCCACGGGCTTTGGTTTTTTGAGACTGAGTGAGATGATTCCTAGAGGGCTTCATAGCCGTGCCACCTGAGGTTTAATTTAGGAGATGCCACCTGCTTTGGGCTGCCCAGCTGGCTCTGTGGTAAAGAGTCCGCCTGCCAATGCAAGAGATGCAGGTTCCATCCCTGGGTCGGGAAGATCCCCTGGAGAAGGAAATGGCCACCCACTCCAGTCTTCTTGCCTGGGAAACCCCATGGACAGAGGAGCCTGGCGGGCTCCTATCGTAAAACACTCAGACGTGATGGAGCAACCAAAACAACAGCGAGCCCTGCTTTAGTTTTTCTGGGTTTCCACCGAGGTGCTTCACCAGCTGTCAGAAGCTAAATTCAGCCCTGCCCTCACACGTAAGGAGCTGGACGCCCTTCCCTTCTGAGATGGGCAGGAAGTGGGTGGATGCCCCCCCAGAGTCAGCTTTCACTCCAAAATCACGTTCAGGCCACAGTGCCTAGATGGCAGCCATCCCAGCTCACTGGGCCGCCTGACCCAGTGGAGGACATCTGACTGAGATCTGTAAGTCGGCTGACCTGTAAAAGTTCCGTGTCTGTCCCAGCCTGGGTCTCCGCGCGGGTCCCCACGCTGGCCCTGCCCACCAGGTGCGGCCTCCGGGGCTGGCGGCTGCCTCCGCCTCTCTGTCCCCCAGGCCACCCCCCAGTTCCACTCCCCGGTCCAACCACAGCGCCGAGGCCAAGTGCGTGGCACGCAGGTACAAGTTCTCACTGTGGGGCAGGAGGTTTAGAGCAGGCCATGGGCGTCCGCTTCTCTGGGTGGGCGCAGAGGGGCCTGAGTGTGGTTCGGAAGGAGGAAGAACTCTCCGCCGAACCCCAGCCCCAGGTTTCAGGACCGAACCCGCACTGTTAACCCCGTCCACTGTACCGCGCAGAGGACAGGAATCAGATAGCGGCTGGGACAATCGCCCACCCCATCCAAGAGCCCCCTCTTCCACCCCCTGTGGTTTGTGAAGCTTCAGGAATGCCTGGAAATGTTGTTGATGAGCAAAGAGCATGACAGAGTAGAAAGTTAGGACAAAAAAGAAGAGGTTCGTCTCTGTAAAGGGGATGGTTTCACGAAGGAAAAGGGTGCTGGGGGAAGGCCCAGCTGGGAACCTCTGGTGCCTGGAAAACAGTCAGTGTGAAGCCTGAAGCCCCCAACCCCTTTGCTCATTTCGGAGCCCAGAGGCAGCTTGGTTTTTGGGTCAAGGAGGGGAGGGGCTTGCCCAGAGCCGTGAGGGGCGGTGGGGGTGAGGGGGTAAGGAGTTTGGGGGCTGAGGGGTCATGGCCAGCTGCTCTCAAGCCCTAAGTCTTAGAGCCAAACAGCAACCAAGGAAGCTATTAAGAACCTTAATTAGCTTAGCTAAGTCTTTTGAATAGCACACCAAAAAAGTGCGTTCTTAATTGAGGATCTCCTGCTATGTTTTCATGGAGCTTGTGAGTTTCTGCCTAAGAAGCAGAACCAAGGAGGCTCCCGAGAGCTTCAGGAACTTTCTGGGTCCCGAGCGTGCTTTAGAGTCTGTCAGAGGCAGCTACCAGGCAGGCCTAAAGCTACAGGAGGATTTACATACAACTGGGGTCTTGGGGGAAGCTGAGATATTGTTGACAATTTCCAGAAGCAGAATTCACTGAGGACCTACTATACCCAAGGAAAGCCCGTTCTGCAAAGATGATCAGGGCTGAGGGCCTCAGACTCACGGCCCTCTCTCTGTGGCCTCCGGGAGCGGAGCCCACGCTCCTGGACACTGGGGCCCCCTTCAGCTTTTTTTTTTTTTTCATTTAGCCACAAGCCAATCTTATTTAAATCAGGACTGTTGAAAAGAAATATTCCATCAGCCATTCGTGATCTGAATTTTAGCATAGGAGATCAGTTTAAATATGGTGTACACAGAGAGCCATGGGACTTTGCTTTTGTGACAGATCAGGCAGTGGCCAGCTATTACTCCTTAGTAGCTTTTTGAAGTAAGCTATCAAGGCTCCCCTTTCTCCCTCTTGAATGTCAGCGAAGATCACTTTTGTTCCAGAGATGGACGCCCTGGGATTCTCCAGGTGCCCCATCAGTCTCCTCTCCCAGGGAGACGCCTTCTCCTGCTGATGTCTGTCTCAGAGGAGCTGACCTCTCTTTCGCCCGAACAGACCGGGGAGGTTTGGCCCAGTCTTGGGCGTGCCTCCCTCTTGCACAGTATAGCGCTGGGCACACTTCTGAACAAAAACATTCCTGCCTTTCTCCACGTCACCCATTTTTAACCATTCTCTCTCCGGGCATGACTGAGAGGTTCCTGCGTGCAGGCCAAACATCCTGTCTCTAACCCTCTTCAGCTTTTCTTCCCCCCAAAACCAAGACAATAAAATGAAGCTAATCAGAAAGCGAATCCTGGGCGCAGAAAGCCCCCCACCCCTCCAGATCATGAATAGCGCTGGGGGCCGGGCCCTGGGGGCAGAGCCAGCGCCCTGTCTCCTGGGGGAGGGGAGGGGCCGGCTCCACAGGGGTATCCCTCAGCCCTGGGAGAGGCTGCGGGCGGGGCGGGGGGGGGTGTTGAGCCTGCTGGGGGGTCTGCTCAGCCTCCAGGGTCCCTGCTCCCTGCTCCCGAAGATGCCCCAGGGAGCATTAACCCGCTGCCCCACAGCCACAGCCAGAGGCAGAGCCAGAGAGCCACGCTGTCCTCATGGGGCGCCCTGGGCCGAGGACCTCCGCTGTGGGGCCCGGGGAAACACCGCCCCCCAGGAGTGCTGACCATGCAGCAGCAGGGCGGCCCAGTCCGCCCGGGAGGGGGACCCTGTCCAAAGGCAGGCTCCCGGGCCCCAGGTCCCCCGCCTGGCGCTCCCCACTCCTGACCAGGCCCCCCGATATTCATGCACACTCCAGCTGGAGAACAATCTCCCAGTGACAGCCCCGCTGCAGGGGTCAAAGGGTCGGGATGAATCGATTTTATCAACTTTCATGGCTGCGAGGAGCCGCCGGGCCCAGCCCAGCTCCCCCATCCAACCCGCGGCGGCGTGTGGAGGCTTTGCTCCCTCAGGCGGGGCCCACTTCCCGAGCATCTTGATAGTGAGTGGGCCAGGCGGACAAAATCCATGTCCTCTGGGGTCCTCCTTCTAAAGGCGAGGCTGCCTTATGTTCAGGTAACACTTGACTCAAAAACACCGTTACACTGAGATCAGCCTGTGAGCCGAGGAGCTTTTTAAGGCAGGGGGTATGTTATCACCCCCTTTTCACAGGTGAAGGACTCAGTGGGTAAGCTCCGGGAGTTGGTGATGGACAGGGAGGCCTGGCGTGCTGCAGTCCATGGGGTCGCAAAGAGTCAGATACGACTGAGCGACTGAACTGAACTGAACAGGTGAAGGAACAGGGCCAGAGAGACCAGAGGGCTTGTCCAAAGCCTGCAGCTTGTAATGGGAAGTGGTCGTTGAGGGCAGAGCCCTCTGCCCCCCAATCCACCCAGTGGAGACTTGCAGACCCGCATCTCTGCAGGGCCCTGGCTCTCAGCTGGATAGTTCTGTCCCCCAGGGGACACGTGGCAAGGTCTGCACACGTTTCGGTCATCACAACTAGTGAAGCCTCCTGACACCCCCTGAGTAGAGACCAGGGCTGCTGCTCAAAACCTGATGTTGCCCAAGACAGCCCCGCAGAGCAGCGGGTCATCCTCCCAGACTGTCAGCAGCGGAGAGCCCTGCAACAGGCAGGGGGAGGCTTGGCTGTTCCTTACCAGCACCATGGAGGTAAAACTATACTGCCCATTTTACAGAAAGGAACACTGAGGGCAGTCGTGGTAACTAGCGCCCAAGATCACAGTGACTAGAAAGAGGAGGGCTGGGACCTGGACGAGCGTTCCCACTTGGAGCCCAGCTCCACGGATCTGCGGTTTTGCTCCTAAGCCTCCTGGTCCCCTGGGTGTCCGAGAACAGGATGGAGGTGAGCGCGGGGTGGCCTGTGCGGTCGGCCAGTGGGGCCCTGTGGTGGAGCCGCTCGAGAAGCGCCGTCCCCTCCGTCTCCCGCAGACTCGGGGGCCTCTCCCTGCCGAGCCCACCTTGCCGGGTGGCCCAAGCTCCTGGCTGCCAAGTTGCCTCATTTCCCACTAAGGAAATTCCCTTGAAAGTCTCTTTTGATTTTCTTTTCTTTTTAGGTTTTCTCCTGTTTTTTTTTTTTTTTTGCAGGATCCCCAGGAACCTGTCTTCAACCTGGCATTAGATCAAAGCCTTAAGCGGCCAGCATGTCTCGCCAATCTGGGGTGCGTCTGCAGCATCCTGTGAGCACCCCGGAGCTTGCCCCGTGGTCACCACCGAGCCTCGCCACTGGGTGCATGAGCCCCCTGCTGCCCAACCTGACCGCTCCAGAGAGAGGGCTCCCCGGGGCCTCCTCCCCATTCAGGGGGGACCCCCTCTTTCCTGATGTGAGCTGGCATGGACTGGAAAAAGGGGAAAGTGGGGACCAGGGTTTTTTTTTTCCTTCCAAATCAGAAATAATGGCCACCCACTCCAGTACTCTTTCCTGGAGAATCCCCTGGACAGAGGAGCCTGGTGGACAGTCCACAGGGTCACAAAGAGTCAGACCGGACTGAGCAACTTAGCACGCAGGCACAGAGGAGTCACTCCCAGGGGCCACAGGGTAGCCTCCACTGGGACTTATGGGGACCCATTTCTTTTTTTTTTTTTTTCTTTTTTTATTTATTTATTTATTTTTTTTTTATCACAACCATAGTGTATCTTTTTTTTTTACATGTATTCCCCATCCCAGTCCCCCCTCCCACCTCCCTCTCCACCCAATCCCTCTGGGTCTTCCCAGTGCACCAGGCACGAGCACTTGTCTCATGCACCCAACCTGGGCTGGTGAACTGTTTCACCCTAGATAATATACGTGTTTCAATGCTGTTCTCTTGAAACATCCCACCCTCGCCTTCTCCCAGAGTCCACAAGTCTGTTCTATACATAGGAGTCTCTTTTTCTGTTTTGCACATAGGGTTATCGTTACCATCTTTCTAAATTCCAGGGACCCATTTCTGAGAGCTGTGAGGCCATGGGGATGCGGATCTGTACACGGTCGGAACTTCGCACACACACACATCAGGGAACAGAGAAGGGGAGGGGAGGAGAGGACAGAGGCTATTAGCAAAAAGCCTGCCAGGAACGTGTAGACCATCCTGGCTTCTGCTCAGAGGCTTCGGGGGGAGGGGTCCCCCTCCTCCACTCGAGTCCTGTCCTTTTCCCACCTGGTCTGGTCACCCCATGTGGGCGCTGAGCCAGAGAAGAGGTGCCATTCTCACAACTCCCTGTTCTCCCCAAAAAAGAGCCTCAGAAGGAGGAACATTCAAGAACCGAGTCCTTCCCATGCTGGGGGGGTGGTACTGAAATGGTCCAGCGGTCAGTCGGGATGCTCAGAGCCAGGGCCCACCGGTCCAGGTCAGGGCTGAGGTTCGCACACGCCTGGCACAGGCTGGATCTCTGAGGACTCCAGCCCAGTGCCCAGGAGGTCAGCAAGGCGTGTTCTGAATTGTAAATGCGACATCTGTGGTCACGTCCTGGGATAAAGGCCTTGGGACTGGGTATGAAATCTTCTTCCCCTTAGGTCACATTCTTGGGTCAGGGCTCAGTCAAAAAACTGAAACTGCTAGGCATGACAGTGGTATCCCCAGTGGCTCAATGGTAAAGAATCTGCCTGCCAATGCGGGAGATGCAGTTTCAGTCCCTGGGTCGGGAAGATCCCCTGGAGGAGGAAATGGCAACCCACTCCAGTCTTCTTGCCTGGAGAACCCCACGGACAGAGGAAGCTGGTGGGCTACAGTCCATGGGGTCGCAGAGTCAGACAGGACTGAAGCAACTTAGCACGCTAGCCCAGTTGCCACGTGGCAAATTCACCAGACGTTTTTAATCCCAGATAGATTTTGTTTGCTTGCTTTTTCTTTTTTCTAACCTTCCAAGCTCCCGATAGAGCATTTTGGTAGCTCTGTGTGTGTTTGTATGGATTCTCCCTGAACTATACACACCTCTGCTTTTTCTCAACTAAATTCCTCCGAGGCTCCTTTTAACTTTTCACAGGAAATGAGCACCTCACCAGGAAGTCTTCTGGGGAAAAATAAATGTGGTCAGGTTTATGCCCGTTTGTGGTTGTGCGTATGTGTGTGTTTCTGGGGGGTGTGTGTGGTTGGCACGTGTGTGTCTCTGCGTGTGCCCTGTCTCCACACACCCTTCGGTGCTGGGAGAAGGTAGGAGACAAAAGCAGAAATCTGAGCGGCACGTTCGGGCTGAGAGGCCCTGTGCTTCCTCCATGAACCAGATGCAGATTTCAATCAATTCAATCAATGTGCAATGTTTGCTGGCCATAAAAATAGCCCAGAGCTTGCTGGTCAGCAGCTCTAAGATGGATGACCAGTGGCCCTGGAGGTCCCAAAGGTCAAAGGTGACTGTCACCTTAAAATGTAATCTGTGCTGGTCCCCCCCACGGGCCTGGCCATCTGCACCCACCTACCGAACCGGGCAGCTCTCAGCCCTTCTGCCCGCTCACCCGGGAGCCTGGCAGGCAGCCTTTGGGCCACAGGGGCGGGGCCACCAAGCTGTCCCTACTCCTAAGCCTGCTGTTCCCCCCCGGCGGAACCCACATGTTTCTCTACCCGCCGCTGCCCCCATGACATCCGACTGTTGTTGTTGTTTAGTTGCTAAGTCGTGTCTGACTCTCTGCAACCCCGTGGACTGTAGCCCGCCAGGCTCCTCTGTCCATAGGACTTCCCACGCTAGAACTCGAGTGGGTTGCTATTTCCTTCTCCGGGGGACCTTCCCGACCCAGAGATCAAACCTGCGTCTCCTGCATTGGCGGGTGGATTCTTGACCACTGAGCCCCCTGGGAAGCCCCGTGACGTCCCACGCTGCTGCTGCTGCTAAGTCGCTTCAGTCGTGTCCGACTCTGTGTGGCCCAATAGACGGCAGCCCGCCAGGCTCCGCCGTCCCTGGGATTCTCCAGGCAAGAACACTGGAGTGGGTTGCCATTTCCTTCTCTAATGCATGAAAGTGAAAAGTGAAAGTGAAGTCACTCAGTCGAGTCTGACTCTTCGTGACCCCATGGACTGCAGCGCACCAGGCTCCTCCGTCCATGGGATTTTCCAGGCAAGAGTACTGGAGTGGGGTGCCAAGAGGCTACAGAACAGCAGGGCTGTGGTTTTGCTTTCAACCCCATTACCCTTTTATGCTAAGCAGACCTTCGCCTCCTTCGGCTCTGAGAGCCCGCTCTAGCGTCTTAGGTAGGAGGAGTGAGAGGTCTCTGTGGTCCCCTTGTGATCATGAGAAAGGATGGAGCAGCCGTGATGTGCGAGGATGTCGCCCTTTCCCGTGCTGAGGGACCCTGCTTCCTCTGCCTCTTCCCTCCTGCTCAGCCTAGAACCGCCTCCCGTTTCTGCACCCAGACATTCCCTCCTGTGCCTCCCTGCTCTGGGGCCGACGCCGCAGCGGCTCGTCGCGTCTCAGAGCCTCGCCCACGCATCTTCAAATACCTCCCTCTCCCTTCCCTTGCTCGTTGTCTGATGCATGCCAGATTTTCTCTCCCGGTCTTTGGAGCACCCGTCTCCATAATTTTTCCCATCTGCTGTGCTGCATTCAGGAAGCATGTAAGGATGAGAGATGCCTGATGGACACTTTGTCCAGTTGCAGCAGCTCCTAAAAATGGAGGCCTCCCCCTTCCTTTCCCCTGGTTGCCGGCTGCTTGCAGTGCCGCCAACCCCAGGCGCAGGGTCTGTGCGCTGCGGATCA